AACCAAAATCAAAGTAGACTATCACTCACCCACACCAGATGGAAAACTCTACAGACTGTCGGTATATATATATATATATCTGTGTGTGTGTGTGTGTGTGTGTGTGTGTGTGTGTGTGTGTGTGTGTGTGTGTGTGTGTGTGTGTTTGTTTTTCCAGTCAAGAAGAGGATGTGGAGCTCTAACAGACTGACAGAAAATTGAAATCTACAATTCATCCACTCAATCTGCACAATCACCTCTATCATGGTCGGGTGCATACTCGCTATCAACGAGACAACATGCCGCATTATCCCATTTCCCCAAACTTTCGCTCGCAAGTTCTTTGTTTTTATTTTACTTTATTTTATTTTATTCACTCATATTCAGATGCTGCCTCGTCATCAATTCATCACTCCATCTGCACAATCACGGATTTCATGGTTAGGTGCACATTCTCCATGCGCTAGTCATCATACTAGTCCTCGTCACTGAGTGATCATCAGTGATTCTGTCCTGTCCATTTCACACTGCCAAAGTTGACGTCCCTAGGAATCGAACTTGTGACCTTCTGCCTCGAGCAAGGTGGATGCCTTTTTATAGCTAATAAAAAAGATTTCATATTCTTCAGCTAATAAAAGATTTCATATTCATATGCTGAGCTGAAAAAAAAAATTCAAGGAAGAAAAGGGTGCATCAAAAGGGGGACGATACACGCAGGAGAGTCAAACAAGGAGTGCCTCACAAAACCATCCACACTCTTTTATGTCCAAGATCATTTTTCCGCCCCTGTGCTGCAGCAGGATAAGCATGAAGGACTCCGTGACCTTCTCCTTTGCACAGCTAGAAGTAGTTATACTTTTACGCTTGGCGGGAACCGTCATTGTCTCTCTCGCAATACAATGACATGGTTTCCACATCCATGTGTCCGGATTGTCCCTCCTGAGGTGCTGAGTCTGATATGCTAACCCTGACGTGCCGAGCCTGACGTGCCAAGCCTGACGTTCAGCTGGGTATGGCTACTCAGAGAAAAGTCCGCGCGCCCCCGCCTGAAGGTTGCATTGCAAGATAGCCGAGCAGTTCTCCGGCGGTCGCAGGCAAGAGAAACAACGTATGCTCTGCGCCATTCGGCACAACGGTCTCCTATAGGTTCGCTCGCCGTTGAGTCTTTTGACCTTCGATGTCAGACTTCCTTCTCCGTCTGCAATCGGATTGATGCCTCATCTGCTTTTCGGTACCCCATTCAAATAATCCTTCTCCTGTCAACCCCTCTTAAGCCACCATTACCTCCAGACCTGACCTGCCAACAGTACAGAGGCCTGGGTATTAGCAGTCCAGAGGGGCTGGGCGTATGGGGCGGATAGGGGG